CACAATGTAGTCAAGGATAACTTTGAAGATCTTTACTAAAAAAAAAAAAAAAAAAAAAAGATTTTGATGAATATTATCCTATTTTATTTAGCCAATTCCTTGCTGCTGGGCACTTAAACGATTTCCAGGCTTACTTTTTGTCTCTGTGTAGAGAAGGCTTTAGAACTTGGGGCCTTGTATAGGCTAGATAAGTACTTTACCACTGAGCCATACCGGAGCCCTTCATTCTAAGCTGCACTGTACGGGTAGAACGTTCACCGTCCTTTCCCACTCACCCACTGACAGTTAGGTGCTGTTAGAGATGCGAACATCATTCATTCTGTGTACATATCTACCATCACACTTACTTAGCTCTGAGTACACTAGCACCTGGACCCTGTCTTTAAAATGCCATTCTCCACTAATGAGAGCCAGGGAGCCCAGGAAAAGTGGCTCGTTCCAGGGCTGGTAGGAGAAGTAGAACTTCTTACTGTGCCAGGAGGAACAGAGGTGTTCGAAGGTTACCAGGAGTCTGTAGGAGAGACATGGTGCCAACCTGAGGGGCTTCGGCTGACCAAGCCAGGGACTGTTTACACATCAACATAAAAGAATTACAGTAGTTTATTTTATAGCATAAATCAGTGAAATAGGAAACAATCAATTCTCAAATTAAAAAATGCTTCAAGGAAGCTGCCAATACAATACTTTCTTTTCTTTTCTTTTTTTTTTTTTTTTTAGTTTTTTAAAACAGTTTCTCTGTGTAGCCCTGGCTATCCTGTAGACCAGGCTGCCCTCAAACTCAGAGGTCCACCTGCCTCTGCCTCCTGAGTGCTGGAATTAAAGGTGCACACCACCACACTTGGCTTTACAATATTTATTATTACAAAGAGAAAAAGCAAGTGAGGAAATGAAGCATCATAATTAAATAATTTGAAATTATGACACCTCATAGGATGAAGTCTTTTCTGTGATATTCCTGCCAAAGATGCATAATCTGAATCTATCAAAGCCAGACTGGAAGCATTCTATCAATTAACTGGCTGATGCTTTCCAAAAAGTAAGGTCATGAAATCCAAGGAAGGCTGAAGAGCACTCAGGACTGTGGACCACCACAGGGATGTGACAGCACCCTGCCATGGCGGTTCCTGTGGACTGTGGCCAATTCCCTCTTTCAAGCAGGGATTCAGGGTTGAGCCTGACAGGTGACAATGGCCATGTGCTGTGCTCATGTCCGGTTTTCATGTCTTTAGTAGGAACGCAAAGGATTGAAGGTGATTGGACATCAGTCACTGGCAGTTTCCCCTCCCTTAGATCAGGAGAAAGTGTTTTATCTTATAGTCTATCTTTTCTTGAAATGTATGATTATTTCTAAACTTAAAAATCTGTAAATAGCCTTATTTTATGCATGTCAGTATTCTAACTGAGTCAAGTGAACATGGCCAAACATGCTGTCGTCAGTGAATGTAGAGCTGGTCCTCTAGACGGGGCAGTGTCTGCTCCTTAGTGGCCACCTCTGTGAGCTCTTCATTGGCAGAAAGTATTTACCTCTGATGCTTGGTAATTCTAAAAGCAAAAGCAAAGTGACAGCATGGGTACTTAGACAGGATTGAGTACCAGCCAGTTGTTTCAGAAAGCTGAAGTGTTTGTTTCCACACTGATCTTTCTTACTTGAGGAACAGATAACAGACTTTAAGGTTAGATCAATTCCCTAGGCTACACTGTGACTTTGAATTAGAGAAGAGTCATTATCAGCAAGGGTTGTTGATTAAGGGTACTGGAGAGATGGCTTAACGGATAAGAGCACATACTGCCCTTCCAGAGACCCAGGTTCAGTTCCCAGCACCTACATGGCAGCTCACAGCCACCTGAAACTCCAGCTCCAGGGGATCTGATGCTCTCTATTCTGGCTTCTGTGGGTACCGCATTCACATGTTCATAGACACACACAAACATATACAATGTGCATAATGTTTCTTTCAATCTTAAAGAGAGCCAGGGGATGGTGGCACATGTCTTTAATCCCAGCACTCAGGAGGCAGGGGCAGGAGGATCTCTGAGAGTTCAAGGCCAGCCGGGGCTACAGAGTAAGTTCCAGGAAAGGCTCTAAAGCTATACAGAGAAACCCTATCTCAAAAAACAAACAAATAATAAATAAATAAATAAATAAATAAATAAATAAATAAATAAATAAATAAATAAATAAGAAACTGTTGAGTAAGGACCCACCTTCCTATTAAAATAAGTTTACATTTGTATTGGATTTTTAAAAAAAAATTATTTAGAGTGTGTCAGGGTTTTGAGACTGATCCTTAGGCACACAAAAAATTTCCACAGAAATGATTAGTTAACTTGCACCAAGTAATGAAGCCATAAATTCACTATCGGTAATTATAGTTTCAAAAGATGCCCTATCTCTGAGAATCTTGGAGAGTGTCTAGTATTCTGGTTTCTTTGTGGCTCCCATGGTTTGCAGTGACCTGCCAGTAAACAGCCCAAGAAACCTTTATGGTGTATTAACGCACGTGCAGAGTACCCGAGTGCATCCCGCCTAGCCATCAAGACCTTCATCCAGGGTTGGGCAGTCAGAACATGGGAGGAGGTTCATACACACCAGGCCGTGCTCCGGATTCCTGTGTAGCTCCTCAGTTGGTGCTCTGAACGCCAGGCCCCCAGCAGCCGCTTCTCAGAGCGAACTGAAGCCAGCCCACTTGTTCTCACCACGCCCCCTTCCCTCCAACCTGCTCTTAGAAGGACAGGAGTGCCTGTGACTGCAGCCAGTGATCTGTGACCCCTGCGGTGGCAGCAGCCCAGAGCTTCGGGCCATTGTGCCTAGACCCTCTTCCAAAGCACGTCTCACCAGAAGAGCTAGTTGCTGCTGTGGGGGCCGCTTCTGCACTGACTCCACCAGTGAAGCAGTCTCTCCACTTACTTTTAGGGTTTTGTGTTTGGTTCCCTCCTAAGCCAACTGTGTGTGTGTGTGTGTGTGTGTGTGTGTGTGTGTGTGTGTGTGTGTGTGTGTGTGTGTCTCCATTCCCTAGGTCGATACTTTGTAACCAGGGAGCAGCCCAAGTGAAGGCAGGCTGGCAGTGCAAATTGATCAGTTCTAACCAAGCAGGCTGGACACAGATCTAGGCCTCTCTGTCTTTATTAGGACATTCTTCTTTCGACTTTTGTTTCCTTCCGTGCACAGAAACACCCACTTTTCGTGAAGAGAACGGCAGTTTTTCTGTCTGTGTGTCCTCCTTTCACTCCTGTCTCTGGAATAGTTTGTTAGCTAAGTTGCAGTGTGTGTGTGTGTGGGGGGGGGGTTGTTGGTTTGCTTTTGTGCATAGTTTGTGTGGGGTCGCCTTGCCCAAAGTATTAAGGAGTTCTGTGCCTAGAGTCAGGTGACAGCCCTCCCTGCACTTCCCTGACTGTTTCCTGTTCAATGTAGGCACAGGTGCAGAAGACTAAAGACCTGCTCAATAATGTGGCCTCTGACGAAGCTAACTTAGAAGCCAAAATTGAAAAGAGGAAATTAGAACTGGAAAGAAATCGGAAGCGACTGCAGACCCTACAGAGTGTCAGGTAGAGTGAGCAGCAGCTGTCTGTGAAAGGCGGAAATAAGGTTGAAAGAATGTAAGCGCCAGTAGCTGTTCAGGCATCAAAAAGCAGCGTCACACCCAGAGACCCATGTCGCATTTCTCTTCTGCTTGTCCTAAAAGCAGACCGCTGTACTCGCTCACTCTCTGTGCTGCTTCCAGGATGTCTGCAGCATAGCTGAACTCTGCAGCCTCTGTAAAGTTTTTGTGGTTTCTTGGAATATGAGACAGTAAATCCAGATGGTGGTAATAATACTGGGCGTGGCCTTCTAAAATCTTATCATAGATGAAATTGAAACAGCACATATGTCCATCTTTCGGTTTGAATAGATTTGAGAATCCTCACCTGTCAGCACGTTATCTTGCATGCCTTTGCCTCAGTGGAACAGCCGTCGTCCCGGGGAGTAGAGTAACAGTGGCCCAGAACACCGCCTGTGTCACCGGGACCTTTGTGTGTGCCTCATATTTTCTTTGTGCGCCTCTCTTTCCTTGGTTTATATTGTCCATCCTTGGCGGCCATGTGTTCTGCTTTTCTTTTCACAGTCTTGGGAGAGAGCACTGGCAAACAGCAGGCACCAAGGGCAAGGCACCAGGCCTTGCTCTTTCCTCTGCTGAAGTCACTGCTCACTTACAAAGTCATCTTTAAAGCATAATTCATTCTAGTTAAAGACCTAAATCATGTCTGTTTGTTTTTCAAAACAGGATCTCACTGTGTATCTCTGCTAGCCTGGAACTCACTCTGTAGACCAGGCTGGCCTCGAACTCACAGAGATCTGCCTGCTTCTGCCTCCCGAGTGCTGGGACTAAAGGCGTGTGTCACTGTGCCCTATAAGCCCTTTTTAATAGATAAATTGCTTTATTCTATTTTAAAAGATAAATGTTCTCATTACCTGTCTGTTTCATCCTCTGTCTTAGTTACTTTTCTATTGCTGTGGCAAAAGTCACCATGACCAAGGTAACTAAAGAAAGAAAGCATTCAGCTGGGCTCACGGTGTCAGAGCCTAGAGTCCATGATGGAGCAAAGGCGTGGTGGCAGGAACAGCTGAGAATTCACACCTTGATCTACGAGCAGGAGAAAGAGAACACTGGGAATAGAACAGTCTTTGAAACCTCAAAGCTTGCCCCAGTGACACACCCTCTCCAACTAGGCCACACCTCCTCATCCTTCCCAAACAGTGCCACCAACTAGGGACCAAGTATTCAAATACATGAGGCTATGGGGGTCATTCTCATCCAAACCACCACATTCCCTACTCCTTGTGTTATTTTAAAAACTGTTTCAGGTGTGTGCTCGGGCAGCACATACACTAAATGGAACAATAGAATTAGAATGGCCCCTGCACAAGGGTGATTTGCAGATTGGTGAAGTGTTCCATTTGGCATGGGTTCTCTTGATGCCATGGACAAGCATCTCAGCAGCCAGAACCAATATTTCAGTGAAGCTGACACAATCAAAGTGGCCCAAGGAGTTTTGGGAGCTGTGCAGGAGAAAAGGTCTGTCCAAAAGTTTGTGTTGATTGCTGGCACCCAACATTCCTATCAGGACATTGGTGCCAAGGGCTTAACCTAAGTCCAGGCTGTGATGTACTCGGGGAACATAAAATTAAGAAGAGAACATACTCAGCTCAGGTGGAAGGTGGTGACCGCAGCCTCCATCCATATGAGAAGTAGCTTTTCTGAAAAGAGATCCAGAAAATGCCTTGAAATTTTCAATAAAAAAAAATTTTTTGGCGGGGGGGGGGGGGGGGGGGGGGGGGGCCTGTTTCAGTCGCTCAACTCCTGGGCTAAAGGGGCCCTTGTGTCTTAGGTTATATACATACAACCCCTGCATGTATACCTGTGTACATGTGCATGTGGTGGACGCAGAATCCAGCAGAAGGTATTGGATCCCATTCACCTGGAGTTACAGATTATGAGCTGCCAGGTGGGTGGTGGGAAGTGAACCCTTATCCTCTGGAAGAGCAGCCAGTGCCCTTAACTGCTAAAACATCTCTCCAGCCCCTCATTATATTTTTTAAGAGCAGAGTTTTCCCATTAAGATCAGTAACAAAGCCAGACATGATGTCCCATGTCTGTAATCCCGGCACTCAGGAGGAGCAGGGAGGAAAGGAAAAGAAAGGGAAGAGAAAATTAACCCTAAGAGGAAAAAAGAAAATTTAGCCAACCAGTTGAAATAGGCTTTATGTTACAGGTTTTAAATTTTATTTTGTTTTAAAACAGCTCTCATTTTCAGTAGCCTGTTTACCTTTGTGGAAGAGTATGTTTTGTCATGTCCATAGGAGAGTATTATACCAACTAAGATAATGTATATGTTCAATTTACTGATTTTTGAGCCAGGCAGTGGTGGCACACACCTTTAATCCCAGCACTTGGGAGGCAGAGGCAGGCGGATCTCTGTGAGTTTGAGGCCAGCCTGGGCTACAGAGCGAAATTTAGGACAGGCACCAAAGCTACACAGAGAAACCCTACCTTGAAAAACCAAATAGATGGATGGATGGATGGATGGATGGATGGATGGATGGATGGATGGATGGATGGATGGATGGATAGACAGACAGACAGACAGACAGACAGATAGATAGATAGATAGATAGATAACCTACTGATTTTGAGAAATGTGTGTGGCACATGACTATGTTAACCTTATTGGACCCTGTAATCCATTGAAGTGAAATCCACAAAATTACTTGCTAATAGATTTACTTTTTAATTTTTAATAAAAATATACATTCTTGGCTGGGTATGATGATATACACCTATAATACCAGTACTTGGAAGACAGAGGTAGATAGATCTTTGTGAGTTCAAGGCCAGCCTGGCCTACATGGAGAGTTCCAGACCAGTCAGAGCTACATAGTAAAACCCTGTCTCAAAAAAATACACGCACACACACACTCATTTCTATCTATATATTTAGGAAAGTCTGGAAGGGGCTTAACATGGTGGCACACATGTTAAATCCCAGGACTCAGGAAGCTGATCAGGATTCATGAGTTCAGGACAGCCTAGGCTACATGAGACCCTATCTTAAAAAAAAAAAAAAAAAAAAAAAAAATCTGAGAAAATTATGTTACATCCAATGCATGTAGTTGGTGGTTTATAAGTAATTTTTTTTATATAATTCTCCTATTTTCAGGGGTTTTTTTTCAGGTTTTTATAAAGAATACATGGTTAAGAACGTAACTTCATTTGGTGGGTAGGAAGGAGAAAAGTGAATTATTTTTAAGCAGTTATCAGAGTGGAGGACCTTGTGTATTAGAGGTTTCATGCATATTTGAAAGACAGTCATAGTGATGGAAGCTGGAACTCTGAAATACAAATTTCAAACTCCTGAGATTGATTAACTCACTTTTTATTTCATTTGCTCATTTTAGGCCAGCCTTTATGGATGAGTATGAGAAGATTGAGGAAGAATTGCAAAAGCAATATGACATTTATCTAGAGAAATTTCGGAACTTGGCTTACCTGGAACAGCAACTTGAGGACCATCACAGGATGGAGCAGGAGAGGTTTGAAGTGAGTCCCTGGCTCGTCCATACAGACAGGCCCTTCTGGGGTGCCACTGTCCTCTGAGCTGTATCGGTTTGTATGTGTCATTGTATGAAAATACGGCTCTACAGACTGCAGAAGAAGCAGTTCTTCTGTTTTGCTGACTACACAGCATGGATTCTTAGTTGTCAAATATTTGATGTGTTGTCAGAGTTTGGGCAGTGGGAAGTGAAATGGTCACCTGACCTGTGTAGTGACCTGGAAGGGCCCACGTTCGCGTTGCTCTGTCCCATGCCTACTACAAGGGCATTTTGTAATGCTTACAATCCCAAACAAAGCTTCAAAGCCAGTTGTTTAGTTTCGTTGGTGGTTTGCATTTGTGCATGTTTGTGTGTTATGTGTACATGTGTATGTGCATGTGTAGGGGTGCATGTCCCTATAGAGGCCACAAGTTCACATCTGGTATCTTCCTTTTCTGCCTTATATATTGATTCCGAGTCTGTATTTGAATCCAAAGCTTGCCCATTTGGAGGGTGGGGAGGCCAGTGCCTTGCTGTGTTGCCCAGACCAGCCTCTTGCTTCAGGGTCCTGAGTGCAGGGACTGTACCATACATGTCACCATGCCCAGCTTAATCGGGGCTCCATTTGACAACACACCTGACATACTGCCTCCTTCTGGCCATTCACCAGGAACTAAGACCAGTATTTCTTTGTGACCTTGCCCTCCTGACCTGTCCATTAGCATCTTTAGATTGGAGTAGTATACAGTACAGGCAGAAACATGGAAACAGTTCTTTCTTTTCTTCTGAGCAGAGAGCTGTGCCTATCTGTGTTGGACACATTCCTGTGTCCACTGCCCTTGCAGGCACTCATGGTGGCCTTGGGTTGTGTCACTCATTTCTTTCACAGTTCTAATGGTAGTGGGAGGAGGGGATGGGGCCAGAGCATCATTCTCACAGGCTGCTGGGTAGATGGCAGAGCAAGAGCACAGGTTTAGGGACCTCACAGGTTGCTTAGGTAAACTTTGTAAAAGTTTTTAAAAACTGATGAGTGTCTGTTTTGTGTATTGGTATTTTGCCTGCATGTATGTCTGTGCACCATGTACAGTGCCCTCAGAGGCCAGATGAGGAGGACATCAGATTCCCCGCACTGGTGCTTACAGATGTTTATGAGCCACTGTGTGGGTATAAGGAATGAGCCAGGGTCCTGGGGAGGAGCAGCCAGTGCCCTAAACCGCTGAGCCATCTCTCCAGTCCCCTTAAGCAACCGCCGAAGGTCTTTTTTTTTTTTTTTTTTTTTTTTTTTGTCTCCGTGTGACAAACCCTGCAGTATTCACAGTGGTGCAGAGTCAGACCATCCACCAAAGGCCGTCGTTCTGAATCTGGTCTTTCTCCCCCACAGGAAGCGGAAAACACTCTCCGTCTAATGCAGAATAAGCTGAAGGAGGAGGAGAAGCGGCTGCTCAAGAGTGGAAGTAAGGCTGTTGTTCTCGTGTCTACTTCAGGAAGGTGCTGTGGATGTAAGGGTTCTGCCCGGTGTGCGCGTTCGTGCGTGCATGTGTGCGTGCGCAGCTGTGTGCGTGCGCAGCTGTGTGTGTGCGTGCGTGTGCGCGTGCGCGTGCGTGTGCGCGTGCGTGTGCGTGTGCGTGTGCGTGTGTGTGTGTGTGTGTGTGTGTGTGTGCAGCTGTGAGTGTGCCGTGGAGCGCATGTTGAGGGCAGGGGCAGAGGACAACTCTGTGATTGGTTTTCTGTCCCTCCACCTCTACGTGAATTCCTGAGAATCAGACCCAGGTCAGTCAGCAGGTTCATGGGACAGGTATGCAGGGAGTTACATTCCTATGGCAGTTACTTACGTTTTACAAAACATTTTGTTTTCTTTAGTTTTTCCTCTCAGATTTTTTATTGTGATAAGAACAATGATGATGTTTGACCTCTTCCACATGAACAAATCCGTCATTGTTGACTAGAGGTGCAAAGACATTCTCTGAAAGCCGATTTCTCACAGCTGGTGTATCAGGTGCCATTGGAATTTACTCAGAAAGCTTCCTTTTCACAGAGACAGGAGTGACAGGCGCGGGTCTGCACAGTCCTCTGTGTACACGCTAGGTGTTAGGGCTGTTAGGTTGGTGTTTCTGTGGCACTCCGGACAGCAGGAGCGGGTGTGTCTCTGACTCTGGCCTGCTCTTGAGACTCTTTTCCTCTACTGGGTTATTGCCTGTGCAGCCTCGATGTGAGGGCCCCCCTTGTCTTACTGGGTCATGTTTTGTCCTGTTTGGCTGTCATCTCTTGGAGACCTGCTCTTCTCTGAAGAGGAAATGAAGGTGGAATGGATGGGTTGGGGAGGTGGGGGTAGCTCGGAGGAGTGGAGGGAAGGGAAACTATGGTTGGGATGTATTGTATGAGAGAAGAATCTATTTTCTTCTAGGTTTGTTTGTTTTTGTCTTTTGAGATAGGCTTTCTCTGTGTACTGGGACTCACTCTGTAGACCAGGCTGTCCTCAAACTCAGAGATCCACCTGCCTCTGCCTCCTGAGTGCTGGGATTTAAGGTGTGGATACTAGGTATAAAACAAAGAACAATCAGACTGCAACCAACAGAACCAGGGAGGCTACATAGCAGGAGGGACCCTAGGATGACTGTGGCTTATAATGAGCTTTGGTTTTACTCAATCACTGGACAAGCATCAGTGAAACATTTCACTAGAAGGATAAGAATTTGTACTGCATCAAGCAGATAATAGAAAAATAAATAAAAAAATAAACCCCTTAAGTGAGTGCTTGGGGCCGTTCTCCACCTGCTGTGTCGGATGTTGGATGGCCAACCAAGCTTGCTTGTTGTGTTAATAAAAACCTCTGTGTGCTTGGAAAAAAAATCTATATTGCATTTAATATCATCATTTTTTGCTTGAAAAAAATCTATATTGCATTTAATATCATCATTTTTGTGGATGAAATAAGAAGGAAACTGAATGGTGGTTTTGTGTTATAGTTGTTAATTATGTTACTATGGATCAGTTCTCTGAATAAAGACTTTTAGAAGATGTAGTTTTCAAATTGTGCTGGTGATCTTGAAGGACACTCTTTGAGGCACTGTCAAGCTTCCAGGCTTTCCCTCCCGAGCTGAAGGACACAGCTCTTCTTGTGACTAAAGACAGCAAGTCACCTTCCCCTAGTGCCCAGGTGGACACAGTTATCCCATGCAGGCACAAAGCAGAGCCTTTGGAAGACCAACAACTGCTGGGTTTCCAGGCTGCCTTCTAAGTCGGTGTCAGGCCAGGGATTGGGAACCCTCCAAGTCCCCTTCCCAAACCCCCATCACGCCCTGGGTTTAGTAAGGCTCTAGGCAGTGAGAGCTGCTTCTTCCCAGTATAGTCTGTCTCTGTTGGTTCTGTCTAGAAAATGTTCCGCTTACAGACACAAAGACTACGAACAAGTATTTCTAAATGTATAGAGAGTGATTTCGGTGCTGGAGAGATGACTCAGTGACTAAGAACTCTTGCTGCTCCAGAGCACCCAGGCTCATTCTCCAACACCTACACCAGGTAGCTCACAACTGCCTGCCCCTCCAACTCCAGGGGAGCCCACCATCGTCTTCTAGTCTCTACAGGCCTCCCCACACATGTGGCATACAAACATATGCACGCGCGCACGCGCGCGCGCACACACACACACACACACACACACAGAGAGAGAGAGAGAGAGAGAGAGAGAGAGAGAGAGAGAGAGAGAATTTTTAATTCAAAAAAGTGATTGCTCTTGACAAAAAAGATTGCACTGAAAATAGCCTTTTATAGAGTACATGCATGAACCCCCCCCCCATAAATAAATTTTATTTTAAAACAGCCTTTCTAATTAGTTGTGTGTGTGTGGTGTTAGGGATTGGACCCAGAGCTTTGTAGAAGATAAGCACATGCTCTCGCACTGAGCCCCAAGCCCACCCAGTGCATGCCTTTCTACTAGAATTTTCTGCAGTGGAGAATGTCCTGTGAGCTAGTCACTTCAACACTTTCCTTCTCAGGACAGCCCGCTCTGGCCCAGGCCTAGGCTCCCTCCTCTCCACCCTGCTCTGTTCTCTTTCATCCAGCTTCCATTCTTTATCTCTGTTAGGATCAAGGCTCTTGAGTTAGTAACGTAGCCTGGCAATGGACAGGGTGGCTTCCCCTGTTCACCAAGGGCTTCCAGCTACCTTGACAGCCAGCTGCTCCCTTTGTCATAAAGCTTTTAAGGCATCTGGACCATATTCTCTTTGCTTTGTAAAATTGCTCTAAGCAAATACAGCATATTATGATCTGTATTAACACTTCACTAAGAACCTGAGAAAATCCAGGGGTCTCATGAGATCTAACAAATGAAAAGGGCTGAGGAAGGCAGATGCGGTTCCACTGAGTCTGCGTAGACTGGAGACATTTGGCTGTAATGAAAGAATTGTTCCTTTCCTCTGCCCTCTGCTGTCCCTGTCAGGTAATGATGACTCAGACATAGACATCCAAGAGGACGATGAATCGGATAGTGAGCTGGAGGAGAGACGGCTGTCTAAGCCTCGCACGGCCATGGAGGTGCTCATGCAAGGTAGTGTAACTCCTGATGCTCACCCCCTTGTCTGTTTCTCAGAACACCAAGGGCAAAGTGGGGGAGGGGAGGTGCTGCTTAGCATGAGGTCCACAGGGTCCCTGGCAGGGTCCTGTGAAGGGTCCCTGGCAGGGTCCTGTGAAGGGTCCCTGGCAGGGTCCTGTGAAGGGTCCCTGGCAGGGTCCTGTGAAGGGTCCCTGGAGCCATTCCTGTGTCCATTTATTTTATTCTTCAGGATCTGTCTCTCAAACTGCTTGTTGGTAATCATTGCCTCTAACAGTCCTTTTGTTCGAATTCACAAAGTACCTCAAGATGACCTTGAACCTGATCCTCCTGTTCCACCGCTTAGGTGTTGGGATTGCACACACACCACCATGCTCAGCACCTATAATGTTCGTCTCTGTGACCCTGGGAATAGCTGATTCACATTTGTGGCTTGGAGTATCCCACATATACCTCAGAAATGGCCTATGGAACTGAGCTCTATATTGTTCTCATTTGGGGTCAGTGCAGTTATATCTTGTGGCCAAGGAATTAACACAGAGTGAAGGGATCACATGAGTTCCTCTCATAAAAACCATTTTAAAAATGGGGTCTTCCTCATGTTCCACTTCAATCTGGAGGGTCATAGCTAGCTTTCAGGGGCTTTGTCCTTACAAATTGACTTTCCACGCACATGTAAGATACATACACACATATTGTCAAACGTAGGCAAAAAGATCATCTGAAAATTCTTTAACCTAACTGGGACCAGATTTGCATCATGATTCTATAACTAACTTTTATTCTGAAAAGTAAGTGCACTGGGGCTGGGGCGAAGGCTCGGTCAGTAAGATGCTTGCTGTGCAAGCATGAGAACCTGGTTCGATTCCCAGCACCCAGGTAAGAAGCCATACGTTGCCATGCCTATCTGAAATCCTCGAACTGGGGAGGTGGAGACAGGAGGATCACTCAGGCTTGCTGACCAGCCAGTCTTACTGAATCAGGTCTCAAAAATATAATATGGAACCAGATGGTGGTGACACACACCTTTAATTTCAGCACTTGGGAGGCAGAGGCCAGCCTGGTCTACAGAAAGAGTTCCAGGACAGCCAGGACTACTCAGATAAACCCTGTCTCAAAAAAAAAAAAAAAAAATGGAGGGTGATCTAGGAAGACACTGATGTCAACCTCTGGCGTCCACATGTACACATACAGACATGCATGCATTAACACACATGAATTTGTATTCACACATGCACTACATTCACACCCAAATTAAATATATTGTAACTGTTGTGGGATGAATACCAGAGAAGACTGCTTGGACATGGATTTAAGCCAATAGAAAATCTTTTGCCAGCTGGCAACTACACTGGGTATTTGGAATCCCAGTGTAGGACTGAGCCTTTCTCAGGGTGAACCTTTAAGCACAAAAACCATGTTCTGCGTTGGCATACTTCAGTTAATTAGAACAGTTAGCCAGAAGCAGAACTACAGAAGCCAGAAAGCAAGGTTAGTACATTTAGAGACTTTCCCAGAACTATGGACTTTGATGGATGAGACCTTTGTTTTAGTTTTGGCTGGTGTTACTGTCTATTATGCTGGGTTTTACAGCCTGAATGATACTTCCACCATGGAGTCAGTTGTGCTAAGGTCTGGGGCCCTGTTACAGTAACCGTCCCTGTATCAGTAAATAGAGATGTGGTTTTTTATTTTTAATGGCTAGATCATATGCCACTACATTAGTGTACCCTTAATTTATTTGTGTATATATTTAGATATTTAATTTCACTATTTTTCTTGTATAAACTTCTTTCTGCATATGAGTATTTCTTTAGTGTACATCATTTCAAATGGGATTTTTTTTGGGAGGGGGGGCGGTTTCAAGACGGGGTTTCTCTGTGTAGCTTTGGAACCTGTCCTGGATCTCACTCTGTAGTCCAGGCTGGCCTCAAACTCAC